ATATACCAAAATAAGCTTAATTTGTAGCATTCATACTTCTCACTATCACGCACTATTAAAAATATATAAAATAAAATAATCAGCAAAAATCTATAAGTTATAGAAGTATTTTGGCCATTTTATTTATTTTCAATTCTCATTTTTATGTACTTTTACATATTTGAGGAGTGAGGCTGAGAATCACATAAACTCCATATTCCAGCTTAATCCAGTGCATAGATAAAATTAATGTTAAAATAGCTCTCAATAAATGGATCTGCATCATATTATAAATATGAAAAAATATATATATAATGTTGCAACCTTAAAATGTAAAATTAAGGTGCACCTAAAAAATCCATCATAAAATATTGTTTTGATATTAGAAAACCCTCTAATTGGTCGCCACAACAAGAGTTTGAGTCCTAAAAATAGTGTAGTTTGCAACACTTTATGTGGACTATCCATTGTCAATATTTTCAATGGTTTATAAATCTACTTGATTTGAACCATTCTTGGAGTTTCAGATTATATAACTAGAGATGAAAATAGATTCTCAATCCATCATATGAATTTTTGACACCAAAGTTATATTTATGATAAAATTTGAAGGCGTGTTTTAATTTGATTGTTTAAGGTTCCAACCTTATGCAAACCACATCCTATATTATAAAAGATATAGGGGAATTTTTAGATTTCAATAACAACATACCATTTTGCATAATTTTCCCATAAACTATACAATGTGACTTATGTAGGTTGTGCAATTTCCGTGAGGCCATAATGGTATTGTATTTGGCAAAACCATATTGCGAAACACCTTTGGAAAGCATGATTTTGGATCTAGAAACTCTTGCGATGGCCTGCAATTTTTATTTTGGCCCTTGACTATGAAATTTGAAGCTAAAAAATTCAACTAATCTACAAACATTTAAAATGGATAACGTATACAAAACTTTTCTAAGTGTAAAAATCTTAGAGCTTAAAATTATTCTATTTTTCTCTGCAAACACTTGGAATGGACATCCTTAAAAACACTTTACAAGAAGTAACAATTTTAGAGCTTAAAATTCATTTATTTTTCAAATCGATGATTGTTGAGGTTTAAATGATTGATTCCAATCACAAGTCACTCATCATTTGATGCTCCAAAAAAATTATATCCATAACGACTATAAATCCCACAAAAGGAAGGATATTTCGCAATTTATATCCCCGGAAAACACAAACAAAATGTCTGAATAATTAAAAATTGAAGCCCCCAAATTGGTTATTGGAACCAAAATAATCATAAGATAACAATATATGACCAATAAAAAAAAAGACCAGAATACTTATGAGAGATGATTTATTTGACATTCTACTTATTTAGAATTATTCCAACTCATGTGACCAATATTTTTAAATTAAATCAAATAATACCGGTAGAATGTTAAATAGTTCATCTCCTAATGGTATTTAGAAATTTGTTCAAAACAAATTATATAGTTAAAATGAAAATTCACGAAAATGATGTAGCATGTATACCATGCTTCTATGAAAGCATACTATACCCTAACTCATTGAGGAAAAAGGTCGCTTGGGATATATATATATATATAAGAAAAAGTTTATATAGAGCCGAGGCTCTAGACAATCACATTCAAGCCTACCTCAAAAATTTCACTAGACGAGATTGTTTTGATGCCCAAAAATCCTTAAATTGATCGTTTTGACATCAAGATGCATGGTCATGAGAAAAACATTGATTTTAAGTTTTGGAAATAATGTATTTTAATGCATTTATTGTCCGTCAATTTTCAAGATTTTTAAGTTTTCATAGATCTGTCGATCTACACCATTTTTTAAGCTTTAAACTTTATAAATAAAGATAAAAATATATTTTAAGGCTATCACAAAGATTTTTAGTGTTGAAACCACATTTCTTGACACTATTTAAAGGTAGGCCCTAATTTGATTGTTTAGAGCCTAGGCTCTATACAAACCGCACCCATATATATATGGGTAC